TTTACCAATAAAAACATTAGCTGCAGAGGAACTAACACTGGATAAAGACTGCGGTTTATTACAGCCTAACCATCTATCCATGTGATTATTTTGTTGTGGTTGTCATAGTGTATTGTATGTTAATTTTAGTTTTAGAAAAGTTCAGCATCCATACAATACCAGTTCAACAAATTGATACTGCATGATGCATGGCTTTGCATACTGATTTTGAGGATATTCTATGGTCCCGTCTGACACTCCTGAGATTAACAGTAAAAAACTAACACACAGACATGCATTTTCATTCCATTAAAACCATGTGATGCCAAGACGTGTTGGCATCACATGTTGGCATCGCGACGTGCGTTGGTTATGAGTATGAAACAAAGCTGTGAGGTAATAATCCTCCTGTGATCTGTTAATGAGCGCTCGTGGACCGGGTGTAGCGCTGATAGAGGCAGGAGAAGTAACAGGTGTCCCCTCACAAAGACACCTCTCTGCTCCAGGACGCTCCGGTGGTGTGGGTCAGCGCCAAGCCTCATCCACCTCCACACATTTCAAAGGGAAGGCCACCTCTCTGTAATGAATAATTAAGGAAACAAAAGGCCCAGGAATAGTGGAGTAGATGCAGTGGTGGGGGGTCTCCCAGAGTGGAGGAGACGGCCTAATGCTGAACCAGATGCAGCAAAGAGGAGCTGAAGGTTTTTTTTTTTGTCCCCCCCCCCCCCCCCCCCCCCTGTGCTTCATAGAAAACATCATCCTAAATGTATTCCCTGGTGATACAAGGGTCTGCAGGAGGTGCCCCCAAAGCGCTGGGGTCCTCTCAAGTGCCTCCACACAAGTAATCCCATTCAATACAGCTCATTACATGGGCAATTAAGTGCTGGGGTTGAGAAGAACGCAGGGCCAGAGAGGGATATCGAACAAGTGCATATCCTACTGATCCACCCACCTGTTTTAGCTAACCCTCCTCCCCACGCACACACACACATAAATCTTTTACCTGGGTTGAGTCTCTACGGACACCTGCCTCTCCCTAATGAAGATCTATGGCTTCATTTCCATTTCTGGAGTCATATCAGAGAGTGGCAAGCACAAAACCGGTCTGTTTTCTGAGCCCTGGAGAGCCGGATAGAATGACATGGCTAAGTGCTGTGGCAAAGCACAGCAGCTGTGGAAGCCTCAAAAATAGGATTTAGTAGTGAGTAGGACTTGAAGTGATGTTTGAATGGGTCACAATGGCAGTTGTGCCCTCACTCATCACTGGGCGCTGATAAGACCTTCTGATGAAATGAGAGGAGAATAAGTGAACTATCTGACTCATAACAGCTCTGCAAAGATGCATTTAATATCTATCAACCAATAACATGCTCACAACAGAATAACATTATCAAATATCATCTCCACATGAAGAGGCCTTTTGTACATTTAGCACATGGACGATAAAAGTGATATCTGCAACTTCAGCTGTATTTCATTTTTACAGGAAAACTCGTTTTGACCATATGACCCAGTAGTATAATATAAATTGCTGGAGATTGGACCAATGGGGGCCTCAGTTGTCAATCAAGGATTTGAATTTCTTCCGTCCAGTCAGGAAGCTGTGAGGGCGGGTCTAACTGCTGCTGTATTCGGAAAGTTGCCTCTGCATCATAACATTTTGAAAAGTAATTGACCTTCACTTTTAATGTCCTTTTATTACAGTTTTTATAATAAGTGAACATCTTAAGTTATAGTTTATAGATTGTATACCAAATTTAGTATGACAACGTTTCTGGTAATATTGGAAATGTGATGTCTGACCAGAGGCGTTCCAAGGGTACCCCGGGGCCCCAGGCAACAGAGTCCTTGGGGGCCCCGATACCGACCACATAAAAAGGTTTATATTACAGTAGGTATAAATATATATTTATAAATAAGGTAAAATGCAATATCTATTACTTGTTTACATAAATATAAATTAAATGTAGATAATATCTTATTTTTAACAATAAAGAGAAATAATTTAGCATGTCTTTTTATAAGCTTGTTCACTACACTCATGTTATAATTATTTGCAAAAACTACCTATCAAAGTGTATTAATCCTACAAAATCTATTCTTTCATTTGGCCCTCAGTGTTTATAAAGTCTATTTTAATGATTAGGCTCTAGCTTTAATCTGCAAAAAACGGCTTGTTTTTACTTTCTACCGTTCTTGAGCATTCTGTCTATAATATAATGTATAGTCTAATCCAAAATACTGTTCGCGCTCGGATTTGAACCCCGGGCGCCGGATTGCGAGCGCTGTCAATGAAGAACGTGGCAATTTTAGCATCAGACGAAAAGTCACTACAGGTAGCTGCTGTAGCCTGTACAAGTCCTCAGGGGCCCCCTACCGGTTTGGGGGGCCCAGGCAGCTGCCTGCCTTGCCTGTTGGCACGGGACGCCTCTGTGTCTGACCTCAAAGTTGCTAAACTGTAATTCATTGGTGTGTACCTCACAATGACAAATATATATTTATTGATGTATTCCGTTGTGCATGACAATTTTGTATTTTTCAATGACAACCATTTCGAAACAATGCTACCAATTGTATGCATAATCTATGATACTAGGGCCCTCATTTATGAAACTTGGGCAGAAAAGGGTGTATATTTTTGGTGTAGATTCCAAATACGCAAGAACCAACGCGGGATTTATGAACGTGTGAGATCCGCACAGATCTGAGCGTACGCAGCCGCGGCTGTTCATAAATGCCACGTTCAAAACTAGCGTATTTATGAAAGTCACGCCTAGAAATATTCAGAAACCGCCTGTTTCACACGCCGTTTTTACGACAGGTCAGCATAGAAGTCGGCCAGCAAGTCTAGCTGGAAGCCTCAAAAGGCCTGTTAGTGAGTTTATTTTGAGTGTTGTATTTTTTATTACTTAGCGCAGGGTCTGCCACAGATTTACGGAGCAATAGATGGTCACACATTAAGTAAGTAAGCCAGGTGTATTTGTATAGCGCCTTTCACAGACCAGGATCACAAAGCGCTCATCATGATCTGTGATTTATTCAAAGTTTGCGTGTTTCCATTTGAGTTTTTCTGAGGGGCAAATTAAAATTCCGAAACATGATGCTCAATGAAAACGCAGCCGTACGCAAGTTGTATAAATGAGGGCCAATGGGCCTCATTTATACAACTTGCGTACGGCCACTTTTCCGCATTTATCAATCTGGACGTGAGCGTACGGTACGCACAGAATTTACACCAAGTCAGTAGGTGGTGTAAATGTGTACGCTCATTTCACCCTTCGTCACAACACGCCAAAACACGCATGAAATTCAAGATTTGGACAACAATAAACATGTTCCCACTCTGGCAAAATTATAAGCTGTGTTTTCATTGAGGATCATGTTTCTAAATTTGAATTTGCGCATCAGAAAAAGTCTAACACTCTGGAAACACGCAAACTTCGAATAAATCACAGATCATGAAGAGGAGCCTCTTCTGTTTCTATGATTTTAAATCTGACTTCTGTGTGTATTATTTTGATCTGTATGGTTTTAAATTGTGAAGCGCTTTGTGATCCTGGACAGTGAAAGGCTCTATACAAATACACTTTACGCGACAGGTATGTGTGACCCAGATATTGCTGTGGCAGGCTTTGCACTGCGTAATTACGCACGGCTATTTGTATTCCTCACATCTGGTAAAGCAATTTATGTTTTCATTAGATATGTGTAAGCCTCACACAGACACACACACCATTAACGCATGGACCGATGGACTATGGTATTGCTCACTCCAAATGTCTCACTGCCCTGTCCACCCGCAGCGCTAGGAGTGCATCCACAGCAGGTGCCATGAGAGACGCGCCACATAACTCCTCAAATGCTGTCATTCAGAAGTTTTGGCTCCAGAGTTTCTCTGTAAAATCTGGACTGTAAACGCTCTCGCAAGTGTACAGCGCTCAGTGCATTCACAAGACGCTGCAGACACTTCATTGACGCTGCACAACATGAATTCATTCATTCATTCTTTATTTATTCACTTCTACAATCCAAGAGAGATTTTTATAATTTATCAAAACATTTCTGCAAATTTGTTCAAAACGCAGCTGAATAAATAGCGTAGCGTATATAGCGTGTATTTATTTTTACATAAGCATGAACAACCTGTGTTTTGCCTCATTCACCTCTGGCAAAGCAATGTGAGTTTTCCTTATTTTTGTGCATAAAGCCCCATAAATGCACCTGATCTTGCTCAAAACTGTTTCAGCCACTGCCCTGTACTCCGCAGCGGAGATAGGATGCGACGCGCACCAGCCGTATAGTTCATTTATTCATTCAGGTCATTTATTATTTTTTTATTTACGTCGAAATTTCAGGAGAGATGAGTGCTGCAGTGGGTCTAGACACTAGGGAAAAAAGTGTATTTATAATATAGCATATATATATTTTTTTAAACGTGAATAAACTCAGAAGTGCTTGCTTTTTGCGGCTTCTTAGCCGACTTCCTGCTGACCTGTCGCAAAAACAGGGCGTGGAACAGGAAGTTTCTGAATATTTATATCTGCGTGACTTCCATAAATACGCTGGTTTTGAGCGCGGCATTTATCAACAGCCGCAGGTGCGTACGCTCAGATCTGTGCGTATCTCACATGTTCATAAATGCCACGTCAGATCTTGCGTATCTGGGATCTACACCCAAAATGTACACCTTTTTCTGCGCAATTTTCATACATGAGGCCCAATGTGTGTATTTAATGTTGATGATGCAGTTTATAGTTTTGTGATATGTATAAACGATTCCGGTGTTTAACTGTTTATTGCTATCCTCTGCTATTGCTATCCTCTCTCCTACGGTTGCATTGTCACAAACAAGTCCATCTTCTTTTCAAGTTTGGAGTTTGTTGCTTAAAAAGAGAAAATTACTCTTCTTCTCATGACTGTTCAAGTTCACGGGTTTCACTATTATCAAAAGCAGTTTGTCCACAGGCGCGTGCGTGTCTTTCAGTGTGCTGTTGAGGCTGTGGTTGTTAACATGTTCTAGCTCAGTGACTCCTCTCAGGGGGAAGGGCCTCCTGTTCGTCCCGGGACAGGTGAGAAAAGGCTGCAGAAACAAAACAAACACGTCAGCGCCACACCACAGCTGGCCCCTGAATCCAGTCCTGAGGTCCAGACGGGAGGAAGCTCCAGATTTGACCAGTGGAATATGCAGAGTCATGACTCTGAAAATGTTTAGTTTAGAAGCACAGCTAACTGATTTTACCTGCATTGTTAGTATTTATACTGAATTTATAAACTAAATCTAAATTATGTTCTGATACAAATGACAAATAGATATTTCAATACAATACAATATTTCTTCCAATCAGCTGTACATGTTGCCTACATGCTATTATATGCTACAAATTATTTGTGCATTTTGTAGAAAAAACATATATTTATTTAAAAACGTACAGTACATGTCCAGTAGAAATGTACAATAATGTACGTGGAAAGTTATTTTTCTTCTGTTATTTTTATAGAAAAGATATTTGCTCAATGTCACACTATAGACAGTAATTCTTGTGAATCATTTCATTCCACAAAGTCTACAGTCTAATTCACAGTGTTGTATTTCTGCAAAGTTGTTTAGCTCTGACACATTAAATGGAGAGTTTGTAACAGCAGATTTCCTATTTCTAAATTGGATTTGGGTCTGGACTTTTTTCGAACACATATGACCTACTTCACGACTCCCCCTGATGTCTGCTGTTGTTGTGTCCTTGGGCAAGACACTTAACCCCACTTTGCCTGTAGCCCCCACTGAAAGATCAAGGCTCCTGTGGACTCACCACCTGCAGGAGGATCAGTGAGGGGCTGGTGCTCTGTGAACTGTGTGCAGCTCAGACTGCCACCTCCCTGACCCAGAAATGGATTAACGGGAAGAAAATGGATGGCTAATTCATAAAAATAAAAGGCTTGGGGTTTTGTTGTTTGGTTCAATATTCACAAAACACCAGAGAAAGGTCTGTTTAAAAGCTGAGGAATAAAGGTGAGCTGTTTATGTGTGTCAGGGCGGAGCCTGGAGCGAGGGGGTGATGTGGTGTCATTTTGCGGCCCCTCTGCACTCACCTGGAACAGAGCACTTCCCCTCCCCGAGCCTTATCTGTTCCCAGAGGAAATACCTGTCGCAGGTAAACACGACCCTTCGACCCCTCGGCCAATCCGCGCTGCCCCTCTTCAGACGCCCCTGTCCTGGGATGTGTCTGCAGGACCACAAGCCCCCAGCCACTGCTCCGCATCTGCCCCATACAGCCTGTCCCAGCAAGCTCAGTGTTGTCCGTCATGCCCCAGCGAGGAAGCCTTTACCCCTGTGTGCCCTCCATCTTCTCATCCCTCTGTCTCAAATTTAATCTTATCTACATATCACCGCGTGTAACCAAAGATGCCCCTTATCAACCCCAAAGTGTCTCCTGCTCTGTTTTTGCACTGTCACTTGTGATGTATTCTCGGCTCCAGAAATAATATGTCATGTGTAATCTTAAGGTATTTAAGTTAATTAAAATATGAGAAATATGATGAATTTTCAAAGTGATTGGTTAAAGAATGATCCTAATTAAAATGGAGATGTGTTGTACTTTTAATGACTCTGGAGTGTAATTAATTCTTCAACGGTATCTATACCACTTTCTAATAAATGTTACGGTAATGATTTATTTGTCAGTACTTCCTACAAGTTCGAAACAGCAGCTTTCTGTGAAAGATGACAGAGCCCATGATTACTGTCGAGCAGACACTGCACCCTTCCCATTTTACATATCAGACTAAATGCAGGTTTGGTGCCAGACGCATTAACAGTGTGCACTTTGTGTGCTGCACATGTGTGTGTGCAAAAGTAGAGCAATCCCTCAAAACCTTCCCTCTTATGTTAAAACAATGTACATGTACAGTACAATTGCTAAAGTTTTCTTTATTGTTTTTGTAATTAGTACATATCAACCAATTTGCATCAACATGCTTTAATCACTACCAATTTAAGTTTGTGTAAGCCCTCAGTCGTACAGGGATTAGTCGAAGCAAAGGAAGGTTTCTCACCCATCATCTGTACTTCTTAGCAAGTTTTCCCGACGTTTCGTCCTCAACCTGGGGACTTCTTCATTCCCTGAAGAAGTCCCCAGGTTGAGGACGAAACATCGGGAAAACTTGCTAAGAAGTACAGATGATGGGTGAGAAACCTTCCTTTGCCACTACCAATTTAGTTAATATTTGCACGTTAATATATTTGTAGAAAGGCAAAAACAAGTAAATACAGTAGATGGAAATAAACCACACATTGCAGTTGAACCAAAGCCCCCTCCTCCTTCAGTCCCTTCAGGGTCAGGGTTATCACCATCCCTCCCCCACGTCACCTGAGCTGCCCAGGTAAATGCTTGAGTTTCTGTGATCGATGCGGTTTCCCACGGCGACAGTGATGTAGTAGGAGGGGCCCCCGTCTTCCTGGTGGAGTCTGATGCTACATTGGTGATCTGAGTTGATAACCTCCTCCTTCTCTCTGAAGAAACTGGAGAGGAGAGACAGACATCCGGTGTGACGCACAGTGTAATGGCTGATACAAGGGTGGAGCATTCACAAGACTTTTGACTCAAAAAGAGCTATTGGAATTTATATTTCCCTAATTGTCTGTATTGAGTTGTAAATGGGGGGAAAATCTTTCGGTGTTTTCATATTGCAGAACCAAACGACGCAGTACACACAGTGGGAAAGGTCAAGTTGTTTGGACCCGTGGTGGATTTTCACCACAGGGAAGACAGAAACGTGTCATACATTGAAATTTCCCATCATCCACATGGAATTTACATGGAGAATAAAATACACACATTTCACAGCTTGTGACACAGTCATCCTCATTGTTATAATTATTATTAAAGTATTGTCCCTCATGTGACTTTTGTGCAGTTTTACGTAACAAGAACAACATAGTTTTTCATCCTTGTATGAACGCTGTGAAATTTGAATGAGAAGCCTGGTCATTTCTGTTAATAGCTTTCTGCGCAGCACCTCCTTCTAAACAGGGCCTTTGAACAGTTGGTCAGCATGTTCACACTGAGCACGCCCCGGTAAAAAGCGCAGGGTTCCAAATGGGCGGAGTGACACCCTAGCTCAGTGTGAAAGGAGTCCCTGGTTTTTTGGTCAGTGTGAAAAAAATTTTTGAAAGCTTTTCTAGGATCCAAGGCACCCATTTAGATGGAGACGCTGCGAGTTGGGCCTTTTTATTCACATGGAAACTGTGTTTCAGGGGGGTGAAAACGTAAGCCTTGAGAACCAGCCTTGAGAGACCAACTATTCTAAGGCCCCGTTTAGACGGAGGTGCTGCGCAGACGTTGCCAAGCTATTAACAGAAACGACCAGGCTCCTTATGCAAATTTCACAGCGTACAAGGATGAAAAACAATGTAGTTCTAGCGCCCGACCAGTGGTGGGCAGAGGAACTTTACTACACCACACACGCAAACCCCAGCCCCCCCAGCTTTATATACTTTTTTTTTAACAAACGAACTAGGCCAAGTGCGACCACCTCGTTGTCAAAGTTCAGTTCACATTTCTCTTCCTGTTTACACTCGGCTACTGTGGCCACAGCTCGAGTATGGATCGCATTCTTTGCAATCAGACTCAATTTGAGTGTGAGATGTGTCTATCGCCAATGTGCAGTAGCTCAGTGGGTAACGTGTGTGTGTGTGTGTGTGTTTGCGGGCACGCAGCGGATACGGGAGCGCGCCTTAGAGTAAAGAGCGTAAGGGCTGAGAAATGAATTAAATAGAATGAAAGAATGAAAAGTGTGGGGTACGAGCAGAACGACCGGAGCCAGGCAGGATACAAGAGTTGGTGATTTCTGCAGATTAAATAAAGTCTGATTCTTGACTTGTTATTGCAATAGCACCACACTGTGACAGCAAGGGTCAGAACAGAAAGGAGTGTAGAAGATGCTTCCCTTTGGCCCTGGAGCGACACACTCCCCTGCGCCCCTCGACCACGGTCCGGGGGCTCACATGAAAGGTGTAACAGAAGCAATAGAAAATGCAAAAGTATGCGACTTCAGCTGGGTGCGCAGCGCCTCCATCTAAACGGGGCCTGCCTCCTGGTTTTAGAACCACTGAAATAATGATCACAGACAACAGAGTATTTGTCAAGTTGTCCAAAGTAAATGTTTGATAAGATATCAAAGCGCAGGTGCATTTATCTATTGGGATGTTTCTTTAAACAACAGTAATAAACACTCTTATCAGTGACAAACCATTTCCCCATCTCCTCCCCATAATTAGCAGAAAGTGCTACTTTACAGATAAGAGGTGCAGAGGCTGGACTGCTGTTATCTCAGGCTGTATCAGAGCCTGTGGTGTCTGTCCCAGAGGATGTTGCTAAAGCAAGTCAAACATTGTGGCATCACTCCAGCTCTCGCCCTTCACTGACCACTCTTTTTCATGGCGCAGCATGTGTTCAGTTTAAATATTCATAGTCAATCACGCAAATTAAAAAAATACAAGAGAGAAATAAATGCATAAAACCAATCAAAACCAATAACAATACAAATAAGTAAAAAACACCACATAACTCATTAAGACCACAGCAAAAAAGACCCCATGTCTCTGCACATGGCAAGGCAAGTTTATTTGTGTAGGACAATTCATACACAAGGCAATTCAAAGTGCTGAACAAAAAAAAAGATAGCATTAAAATCATAAATAATCACAGTACATTAAAAAGAAAGATAAAATAAAAAATATAAAATCCTGGGCACTAACAGGAGTCCAGTCCCTGTGCTCCTCAGAGTCCGGGCTGGTTCATATGGGACTAACATGTCACACTCCACACTCCGACTCGCAGTTGACTACTGTAAAGCATCATAAAGTGCAATGCAGTAGTCAAGCGCATTACAGTCAAATCGGGAAGACATAAAAGTGTGTGTGACCTGCTCAAATCACTTTTTCACTTTTGATAAAGCCAGAATTGTTATGACTAAGTTGACTAGTTTTGTTCATTCAATATCACCAACGATGCCAAGGTTGATGGCAACGGGTTGTTTTTCAATAGGAAACGTTCCATAAAAAGATTGAGCTACGACCATGTACCGGTTTGCTGCCCTGTGTGGACCAAGGGGATCTGGTTTACCATATAATACAATCTCAGTTTTCCCCTCATTAAGACTTCAAGGCCAACAGAGCAGGGCTGTCAGGGGGCAGCATGTTTCCTCAGGGGTAGATACATTTGGCAGTCAGCCTAAAAATGGAATACATAAAGAAAAGACTGTTGCTGCAAGAAGACACGCTGTCAAAGATTGGAGAAAAAAAAGGTTGGATATTGACCTATTAGAAAACAGAAACAGAGGCTTGAGGAACAACACCAAGGCTACTGTAATAGGGCTGGAAAGTTTCGTCCCAGAAGCACTTCCGGTTCATTGCTCGGATACAAACAAACCGTCAGCTGTTCGAAGAGGCGGTTTAAGTGAATGGTGCATAATGCTCTGCTTTGTTTTCGGCTGTAATCATCACAGTTTACGCGACACATGCTCATTCTTTAGGTTTCCCAAAGACCAACTGAAGCTGTGGGAAAAGCTATGCAGTTCTGATAAAATATTTTGTCTGATTTCAGAGACAGTTAACTTGAACATGTATTCAAGCTAACTTGTAGCTAATGCTAACCTGTAATAGTGCGCGGCCAAGCCTTTAATTGTGGCTTGTATTTTAAGATAAGAAACTTTATTGATGTCACACAGGAGAAATATTGTCTCTCAAATATTTATCTATTTGAGAGATAAAAGAGGAACATATTAACACGTATTAAATAACATTTAACAAATGTTCAAATATAACAGAAAACGGACAATCATTCGTATTAAATGAATAGGAAGCCCAACTACATCATGTTATTTTTGACAGCACAGCAAAAAGGAAAAAGGCCCAATGTGAAGCTGCAGTGAGTGTGAAGTGGAGAATGAACTGATGAACAGATAGAAAACTGATCATTCATATACATTGGCTTATAACCAAAGCAGCAAAGATAGCTGTAAGGGACAACATCAATTTATTTGCATAGGAATAGTGTTTCTATATTTTCTTTCTGATGCGTGATAGTGGATTAAAATACAATGAGTTTGAACCATAGACTGTATGTTTGAACACGGCCCTGCACCTTTCTCATCTCCCCGTCAGATGGAAACGTCAGCACATGGCCAGTTCACAGCTATTTCCGACCGCTCACTCAGTTTTTCTGTCCCAGAGACGAAATGTGTCCAAAATAACACAGGAAAGTCCATTAACGAGGAAGAAGTCGGCGATCTCCGCACCATACAACTGGCACGTGTGGTTTGTTTGTATCCACGGGTGGAAATCTCGCAAAATCTCGCACTTCCGCTTTCCAGCCCTATATAACACTGGTGTCAACGTACCAAGTTACGAACCCTTTGAACAGCCATTAGAACTGGAAGAAGGTTTAAACTCACAGATAACGTTTGAAAAACTTTCATTTAGCATTGACCATTTTCTAATCTACAGTACAAGGCAGCTTTCCTACTCTCTGTATCTGTAGCACGTGTATCTGTGTCCAACACCACTAAAACAGTGCTAAAACTGTTCATACAAAACTTTATCACTAGGGCTGTAACTAAGCAACAATACAGTATGTTGACGACAGTGACTTTCAATAAAACTGCATAAAATCGCTACCTCAGTCTCAGTTATTTTGACAATGCCTGTAAAAACGTGAATGTAGACAACAGGCATCATTTTCAAGCGTTTATAAAGAACAATAAGTATGACAAAGTAAATGTAAACAATCAAACAATCACAAATAATCAGTATAGTCACGTCTGGGGCTGGTAGCTGCCAATCTGTGCTTCCAACAAACTTCTAACAACCACCATTAGCTCACACACATCAACGTCCTCAACTTTTTACGCTGATATTTGAACTTAAAAACTTATCTCAGAACGACTCTCGAGTTTCTGACGAGATTGCGCTGTCACATATGCAGTGACACGGGTGTAGGGTGGAAGTGTGGGTGCAGGCAGGTTAATATCAGGAGCACTTGACAACAATGGTGTGTTATGAGGTCCTGCAGCAGTAATAAGGTCTTTGTTGGGACTTTAGAGCAGAACCACATCACATCATTACTCATCCTGGGAGACCAGTCGCCAGTCGGCATGGCAACTGGGACTTGGCTGAAGCCAGGAGCAAGACCAGAATCTAAATGCCCAGAGAGGACGAACACACAAAGAGTGTTCTGGTGCATGGGGAAAAGTTTGCAAGTGGACACTGTGACCTCAGTCTAGTGCGGCATTGATGAGAAATACGTTTACATGCGCTCAAATAATACAAATAGAGAACTGAGTGGTATTTGAGAGCATCGAAATGTGTGATTGATTAAAGCAAAAACATAAAAAAACGAAAAAAATAAAATAAACGATGTCAACAAGTTAAAACCGCAAGATGTTAAATACTTACATAAACATACATTGTTAATTTTAGTTAATTTGTTTGGTGATAGTTACTTAGTACTTTTTCATCATATGGGGCAGGATTTTCAATAAGATAAGCTCTCTCTCATCAGGAACAGTGGTGAGCAAACGAAGAT